ACTTAGATGCAGCAAATCATTGGCTATCATCGTATACTCTCGATGCTAGACGCTTTGCGTGCTACCTTGATATTATCGGCACACACTTCTTTCTTTCCTTGTCGTTTCATCGGCTATCGTGTGTCCTCCTTGCCCTCTTAAGTGCCGAATAAGTTAAATTCATTCCCGCGCTATAGTAATCCCTCCAGATAAGAGAACTTTTGGCTAAGAAAATGCGTAGCCAAAGAGAAAGCTTTGTGAATTCGGCCCCAGAATGGCACACGATACATCGATTGTGAATGGATACGGTGGAGCATCACTAATGCGCAGAAGACGCTCGAAAAGGACTTGCATGGGATGAGCGAGAACCACCGAATCTCTCAAATTGAAACTCTCGTCACGCAACCGAAACACAACAACTGATGCTCGAAAAATACGCACAAACGATGGGAGTGGTATGGACTCAGGGACAGCGTTACACAGGCTAGTCAAAAAGCTGCTTCGCACCTAATATACTTTTGTTGTTTGTTTGAATAATTGAATGATCGATTGATTGATTCCCAATACCGTCGCCGTGCCTTCAAGCGGTGTACACCCTCCTTATGACCTTGATTGATGGATATGTGGGGTTTAACGTCACAAAACCAGCACATGATTATGAGAGATGACGTCGTTGAGGGCTCAGGAGATTTCGACTAGCTGGGTTTCATTCTCAGTATGACCTTTCGCCTACGTTGGTGAAAAGTGTTCGCTAGAAGCAAGCAATGGCTCCTGCTATAGCGTCTCCACGAATCTCAGCGTCGATGACTGTGAAGAAGCAGACGTTCTCTGCATACAAGCCATCTAGCGGAACGAGGTCGCAAATCACTGTGCATCCACTACGAGCACTTTAACTCTTAGCTGAACGCAACCAGATTGGACATAGCCACATCCATTTTAAATGTCACCGTGTTGGCATATTGCCGGTTACTGTGGAAACTGCGGGTCATCCCCATCATTACATCGTTTGTCCATTATTGTCACTACGAATCATTTCTTCGAAATAGCCGCCAAGCTACCTTTCAAGTTTCTCCTAGTTATCTGGAACGCGCCTCGTTGTTTGGCTCTATTCTTAAAGTTTTCGTCATGTTCCTCAGAATTTCATAAGGTGAAATGGACTCTTGGTAACTTCCGCTATTGGCTCTTGCCACAGGCCTATTCTTTAACATCTGCCTTCACAGCTCCTGACGTGATGGACGTACTAGGAAAGGAAGCATGCTTTCCCGTAACCTGCTTGTACAACGAGCTTTGCGAAGACATCAGCCTACGGGGATATTTTTATGTCACCAGCAGTTTTCTTAACTCCATTATGAAGAGCGCAACTTGAAAGAGCACCAAGCCATATTACTATATTGTTGAACTCTTAACAACTTCAAGACTACAACAGGGGTCATTTAATAATTTAAATTGAACTTAGTTTGTGTTACCATTGACTAGCACCTCAGCATTGCGGCAGCTGTCACCAACGCTGAGAGAAACAGGTTACTGTTTTTCTTTTCATTTCAACCACATAGCCTTCTCTAGCAAAAAAAAAAGAACGCAAAATCACCCAAAGAAGTTGACCCTTATTTGAAACTACAGCATTACATCGTGTCGTGCCACGTCTTTTGTTGTACGGCATTATTATTACAAGTCGTTCCAAAGCAGTGCTTTTCATTTTTACTTGATACCCCGCTGACTTGTGCTCACGGCTTCTAATTAAAGCACACCTACTCCATCCTCTGACATATCTATCGAATGCTTGCTAATTTGCGTGGAAATTGTTAAAAACAAACTTATGTGGGTAATTTATATAATTGGTGGATATTCAAAATGTTGAAATGCACAAAATGCTAAGAGTAAGCGAGACAGTGTGTCCACTAAAAATTTCTGTCTGAAACATGGTACATATTGGCCATATAGATATCGCTAAAATATTTGATCTTCATCAATAATTGGTTGTTTGTGCAATAATATTTGTATGTGACCGCTTAGTGCACATATTATAATTTAGGATGACATTACGAATAATTTACCAAGAGAGAATAAACTTTTTATAACGAGTGCATATAGGGGAAGCCACGGTTGGGTGGGGCCTCTAGTCCAGAGCTCTACTGCTTTGCGCGACACTGCGAGGCCGCTGGAACAGCTGCTACTGTTCCTACCGGTGTAATCGGAGCATTGTAGACTCCCAAGAGGAAGGAATAGGTTTGTGAATGGGAGGAATACCCCGTGGAGCACAGCATTCCCACGTAGAGTGGTACACTGCCGGTACAGATCCACAAAAAGGGCAGTAGGAGGGTTGCTGAGCTGGATGAAAGCGATTTAGCATATATAGGAAAGGAAATGAATTGGTCTGCAGTTGCTGCGAAGCGGCCGCATCTGCTCTGTGAAGGGAAGGATGTGGAGGAGGATATGTATAACGAAGCGAGTTTGAAGAGCTTGACAATGAAATCGATAACATAAAATACAGCTTCTTATACGTTAAGACAGCGTAAACCAAGAAACAGATAACCTAAAAAACCATGTGACTTGAAGAAAGTTATGTGTGCCTAGCACCCAAGATCAATAAATTTGTAATTTTGCCCAGAGAAATAAAAAAAAAACTCTAAAGAATCATAACTGTGTTTCTCTCACGGACGCGCACAACAACAACAACAAAACAACAACAACAACAACAACAACAACAACAACAACAACAACAACAACAACAACAACAAACAACAACAACAACAACAACAAACAACAACAACGACAACAACAAACAACAACAAACACACACAACAACAACGACGACGACGACGACGACGACGACGACGACAACGACGACAACAACAACTACGACAACAACAACAACAACAAACGTACAACAAGCAAACGGTGTATTTAATTGATACTGTGTATACAAATATACTTTTCATGGTGTAGTCCTGTCTCCTTTCAATAATAAATATATGCATATCATAACGCTTCTTTTACGTGAGTCAGAAACAGCCGGGTAATTATTGTTGTCATTTAATATTTATATTTAGTGAACCAGGGAAATGAAAGCTACATTGACCTACGAAAGGAAGGTTATATGTGTCATCTCTTTTTCACAAGGCCCAACTTATTGAGCAGTTACTTTTTAAGCAAAACACGTCCAAAACATGCAAGTCAATACGTAGGTTTGCAATGGAGTCCGTTCCTCCCGAATTAATTATTCTGAAAAACAACTGCTCTGGGCTATTATAGAGGACGAAATTTTGTAACATCAACAGTTAGCGGGAGTTCACTCGTACAAACAGCACGTGCTCCACTGATAACAGTAACTGACCTCACAAACATCGCACCCCACTGTGTTGTTATTACAACCTGCCGGCTTCAGTGACGCCGTTGCAATCCATCTCGTCTGTCCAGATAATTCTCTCTTGAAAGTTCGCGCGTGTGTACGTGCACAGCGCTTACGCCAGTGCACCTATTACAAAGCGTGAGCCAATTTGAGGATTACTTTATTTGGGCCACTTGCATTGTGTGACGCCCCGTGTTATTCTTTATGTCGTGTCTTGTTGCATCTGTTAAGACGATTCCTTGCCCGACATGAACCCCGTATAGCGCTTTTTTGCGAAAGGGTTGGGCCTGCTTTGGCAAAGTGGTTAGTTTGATTGCCTTTCGGTCGTTGATATATTTATCTCATTGTGTGCTACGGCAGTTACGGAAAGCGGCCGCGGTGGCGGACCACTACACCACCAAATGTGTTGTTGTTGTGACCTCTAAACTGCTTTCACTGTCAAATGAAATAACGTAATCTCTACTTTTCGTCATGAAGGTGAAAGGTTGACACCCTGCCCTTAACAAACCCCTTGGTGTATCTTTTCAGGTGTTTGATAGTTTTGACAGCATCGTCGCCATCTTTGATATAGACAAGGACGGGGATCTCGATTGTTTGAGTGGTGCACGCACATACTACGACAAGCATTCGTCAACCGCTACCTACGTCTGGTTTCTTAAAGGGTTTAAATGGCCACAAGCGTGAGTGATTGTTGTATTTTGCAACTTCGATTCGCTTAATAATGCATTAAAAGCTGTGTTAAGTACGATGGTATGACATCGGAAATCATCTTATATCGGCTAGTGACTATATCAGACTTGGCCCTTCTGCTCCGAATGACGTATAAGGTCGTCTAAAGGTAGTTCACGAGATTCTCAGCTATGTTGTAAAAAGAAGGATAAACTACCGAAAAAACGGCACCTTGTCTTCTAAGCAGCACCCATTTAACATTGTGTTTAATATATATGACGTAGTTAAAAAAACTACGCAATATCCCACTAAACTATAACTATGAGTAGCAGGCGAAGCAGCGGATGGGTCGACTTAAAGTTCCGTTCATCACAGGTACCTTGCCCGATGTTAACCAAGGTGAACGATTGGGCCAGTTGGTGAAACATGATCTAAGAGTACTGCGCGGTAGGATACACGGATGAGAAAAAGACAAGGACAAGTGCAGACTTTTTCCGTCCATGTTTTCTACCGCGTAGTACTCTTAGACCGATGTTAAGGCGTCCTTTCAAGTGGAGCACACCATGAATTCACTGTAGTTTCTGTTGCCGTTACTCGTCCCGAACTCTTGTTGGAGTACATCACGGGGATTCGCTAGATTCCGTGCTGACCAGTTGTGCCCTCGTGATCTCCGACGACAGCGCTGCTCTGGCCGACTAGGTTGGTCCTACGCCACCTCCTGCCGCCGGTCCCCTACGACGACGACAGCGCATCTCTGGCCGACTAGATTAGCCCTACGCAATCTCCTGTTGCGTGATAGCATATCTTGCGTGATAGCATATCGTCCACTTGTTCTTCAAAGAGTTTCGTTTCCGATTGCGAGACACGGTAAGGCCGACGGCGTATAACACCAGAACCATTGGTTTCAATGTGGTGTACAGCCACGGGAGTGTGGCTAAGTGTGACGACACAGCTGTCGAAGCAGGCCTTATGCTTAGCTAAAAGCGCCAGTAACGCTGTGGACTGTGGAGGTGTTAGATTAGGGCCGATGTGTTAGATTAGTGCGGGGAAGGAGGAAGAACTCGCACCTGACGAGGGCAGTGACGATGGAGACAGGCAAGTGCTGCGATGGAGGTCAGTGGAGAGGCGTTTCATCGTCGCTACAGACATCCCCTTGGGTAACATAATTTATTCTGCAGTTGTGTTGCAAATGGCAGAAGAACGTGGTCATGAGGACAACCGGAGCAGACAAGAGGTGTCGAGAACTCCACAATGGGTGCAGCGCGGAGCAGGGACAACTAGGGCGTCACCATCATCTACTTGGCTAGATGCAACAGCTACCACGTGTTCATGATCAGGGTGCAAAACACAGCCTTCAGCGCCTTCAGTGACTTCAGCATCTTTAGTTGAATACCAATGAAGGCGGATCTGACAGAGATGCTTCCGATGTATCCCCGATGTGAACGACGTGTTCTTTACTTGTTATGACAGCGGAGGCGGAATGCAGGAAGCCCCAACACAGGATAAGTTCATGAACGTACGTGCGTGTCACAATCATTTCGATGTGGGGACGCAAGCCGTCGATGAAAACGCCAGCCATACACTGTCCATCAGGTTGGAGAGTGCGGTATTTGTGCCACGCGACACAGGTCCTACATATGGTGTTCTTACTTTGCGCAGCCACGAGCACAAGACACTAGGTATAACAGAAATAGCGGCACCGGTATCAACAAACGCTTGCACAGGAACACCTTTAAAAGTCACTAACAATACGTTAGCCGACAAACCAGGAGGTAGTTTTGATCATCGACTGGACGCAGTTTTCCCTCCAAAAACTGCTACCCTTAGTTTTCTGACTGTTAATCAACAGTGCAGGAAAGGGGGCAAATCGGCGATGCCGAGCGTCGGTAGGGTGATGGAGAGCATCCTATGGAGAAGTGGTAGTCCTGATGTTGACGCGGGGACGCTGGAGGAAACGGAGACTTGTACTGCGTGAAGGAGTAGGACTCTGGAACATAATATTCCGGCCGTCAATAGCGGTCTCACTCGAACTCAGCGTAGCCTCGTCGTTCATCCTGCTGGCGGCGACAGCAGTAACGTGATATGTGGCCTCGGATACCGCAGTAAAAACAAACAGGACAGTACGAACGCCACTGAGGATAAGAGTTGGAGCAGGTACGCCGCATCGCACAGAAGCCGAATGGCCACAAGTAATTGCAGCAGGCCCGAATGTGGTCGCGGAAGGCAGAATAGCTGCTATATATGCATATGTGGGCCAAAACATCCTCGATAAACGAAGCGTATGTCTCCTGTGGATGTTGAACCTGCGTTGCCAGCTTCTGTAGTGTGGTTTTGGAACGACCTGACGAGCATCTGAAGATCTTTCGAATCTTCGTGGCAAAGGCCGACCAATCAACAAACTCAGTTTCGTCGTTGAAATACCACGTTTTGGTTACGCTGGTGAGATAGAATCGGAGATAACTCAATATCTCCGCTTCGGTCCACCAATTGGCTGAACTCACACGGTTGTAAAGGTCGAGCCAGTCCTCGACGTCATCACCGTGGAGGCCTGCGAACATAGGTGGTTCGCGATTAAGGCTGGTGACAGTGGACGAAGGGAGGGTGGCCGTAGGCATTAGTGTGAAAGGGTTAGGGCTAGGTATTGGTTTCGTTGTCGGCATAGCTGTGGGGGTGGCCGATCACAATCGGCAACCGGATTGTTGCTCCAGGAGAGGCATGAACGAAGGAGGACCTTGGCATCTTTTTCCGGCACCCCCTCCACTCTCTGTGACGCAGGAAGACTTCACTAGGCACAACCAGCAGAAGTGTTTATTCCGGGATGATTGCCTTGGCTCAGAACAGCAACGAAAGAGCCTGTCACGCCCCAGAATGCGGCGCTCGTCAAGAAAGAAGAAGTTGGCATTGGGCCGCGCGGCGGATTCAGCGCAATTATAATAAAAAAATCAGTTCAAAAACTGAACGCTGTCAGGGCTGGATCTTTCTCGTGTGAGCTCCGGCAGTTATTGGTGACCCAACAAAGAACACACAAACCCCGATCACCCCACATGGGTCTCGCCTGCTCTTCCACCAATCCTACCAGTTTGATGCCCAAGAAGACGCCAGACCTAGCAGTGCTGCAGTCACTGCGATTCACCATGTCAACCTGCCACCATTTGTGTCCACGAAAGCCAACACCCACACACCTTGCACAGTTTTCAATACCGTAATGGACGGTCGTTTAGGACGACTTGGGTCATTTCGCCGCGATGCAGTTTTCCCTCCAAAAACTGCACTGTTTAGTTTCCGATCGCTGGGCAGCCAGTTGAGAAACAGGGCGAAGTGGTGAAACAGAGCGTCGGAGTGGCGAAGAGGAGCGTGGTCTGGATGCACGTGTATTGTTGGTCGTGTTGGAAATGCGCACAGGAGACGGTGATCGGTGGTTGGAACGACTGTCGGCATAACGGTAGTAACCTCGAGCACATGTGTCGTCTCGTTCAAAAGTGGCATAACCACGACGTTCATCTTGCTGCCGACGTCGACAGACCCGGGAAATGTGTCCTCGAATTCCACAGCAGTAGCAAACAGGCCGTGGGGCCCGCCAGGAAGAATGGTCGGTTGGGTTAGATAGACGGGCGACTAGAGGTGCGAGATGTTCATGATCAGGCACAGCTGGTTGTACTTGAGACGGCGAGGGTTGCATTGAAGCGATCTGTGCATACAAAGTGGGTTGGGGGCATGGTGGAGCACGGTGGGTGCTATGAAACACTGACATTTTTCCCCTAATAATGACACGCAGATCGCTAGAAACGGGTTGAGAGGGAACGTTGTTAGAAGGATGGTAAAATGTAAGCTTGAATTCCTCACGAAACTATGGCTCGAGGGATCAGAGCTTAGTGTTGCCAGGGAGTTCTCAGAGAAGTCCGGTCGCAGGTGGATTGACGCAAGGTATCAAGTCGCTGGCATTCAGAGACGACGTCGGAAACCGTCGAGGGTTGTGCGCGCGAGGGGGGTTGAAATATATATATATATATTATTATAAGATATATGTAGTGCTTCTAACTTAAGAACGGAAAAGCATTATTAGCCTCAGTATGGAACTAGCGTCCACCTTGGCTTTTCCCTAATTCATAACATTCATCCTTCTTCCTTCCTGACCCCGGCTCTCGTGCTCTCTTACTGTCCCAAGGCTATACAGCTTTATCTTTCCGGTTTCTTATTTTATACTCTCTGGGGAAATATTTAAGACATTCCAATTGAAGCACATCCAACTGATTCACGTTCACCAGTGTACCAGAAAGTTTTCAAAATTAGTCTTTGGGCTCACTTGGTCACATAGTAGAGACCGTAAAATGGTGCTTTCACCTTTGATTCTTTTCTCACTAGTACGAGGTCAGTGACCAGAATATCTAACAGTCTGCTCGATGGCTCTGTCGAATTCTTTTTCATTCGTTTTCAGTGTCTATCCTCCTGTAATTTTTCTTGCTTCTCCTGACGATCTTGACGTTTTTCTAAGGAGTCCCAACTCACGGTCTGCCTGCAGAATAGGGTTTCTCCTGAAAAAGCGTACTGTGGACTGCACCCCAAGCCATTGTATAGGATCGATTATGATGTTTCACGGCGGCATTTAAGAACATTTCCATCCTCCAGGAAAACTATTGTACATCTTGATGTACTGTTTCAGGGCCCGTATGGCACGTTCTGCCAGCCCACTCGCTGCGAAATAGTATGGAACAGAAATCGATTCGATATATTGTGATCCGAAACCATCTTGCCACTTTCGCTCTTGAACGCAGGCCTGTTATCGCATACGATGACCACGTAGTCTTAAAATGTCTCTTTCGAGGAGGGTTATGACGCTATTTGCATCTTATTTCCTGCCGGTGTGGCAACCATCCTCGTGCATATCTATGGCCAAAAGAAAAGCTTGCGTTTCTTTACTCGTTCCCATTTCTCATTTAGTTCGGCGAGAAAGTCAGATGAACTACTTCTAAAGGTACGTTCGAGTGGCGAGGTAGTAAAAAGCACCCGTAGGCTGTTTATCTTAGTGTACTTGACACACATGGCAGGAACGAACGTACTGCTGACGTCTTTCTTCATGTGAGGCCATGTAAATCTCTTGACCAATTTATTGTAGGTGTGCCAAAATCCATCGTGTCCTCTAGATTCCGGGCTATCGCGGTACAAATAGAGGACTCTGGAAACAAGTGTTGGTGGGTCTTGATACCGACCTTCAGTAAAAACCAGTTGTTAGGAGCCCAAGAAAAGAATAGATATTTTTTATATACTAAAATAGGAAGATAGCTGAGGATTCTGCCCTGCGGCTGGAGGGCAGACTGTTTTTTAACCAGGCATCTCCATGAATTCTTTCAGGCCAGAAAACCACAGAGATATACAAAAAGTGGATATCACAAACTTTACTGTATTTATAGTTATAATAATAATCGCTGGAGATTAACGTCCCAAAACCACGATATGATTATGAGGGACGCTGTAGTGGAGGGCTCTGTGAATTTAGGCAACCTGGAGTTCTTTAACGCGCATCCAAATATCAGCTCACAGGCCTAGATCACTTTTGCCTCTCTCGAAAATACAGCCGCCCCGGCCGGGATTCGATACCACAATCTGCGGATCAGCAACCGAGTGCGTCAACCACTAGACCACCACGGCGGGTCGTATTTTCAAGTTTAAGAACTATTTTGTCATATAGGACTGCACTAGATGATCTAAGGTAGCCTATAAAACAATAAGGCACGTCATTATACTTATATGAATGTTTTATTCGAATTTCAGTCAAAACATCTCGTATGAAGTTCGTCCAGGACGTAAACCTAACCAGTTTCTCGTCAAAAATCAAGACAGTAAGTACTTGTTCACTCACTTCAAAGGATCAATGTTATTGTGATAGCAATTAGAAGGACACTCTGAGCTAGATTTTGCCGCCGGCTTTGGTGTCGCAGTCACTTACCGTATATAAAACCGTATCTGTATATATGAAAATGCAAGAAAAAAACAAAAACCCAGAAATTCACTCCGACGTGCGGAATCGCACGTGAGACCTCTGCGTCGTCAAAGCGAGGCTTTAACCACTCAGCCACCCCAGAGCACGTCCTTCACCACCAATACGGGAAGCTATTAAAGACGATATCTTTCTTGGGGACCTTCGACGCCAAAATTATGGTCGGTCTTTCTGCCTGTATGTCCATCCTGTATGTTCCTGTCTGTACATTTGTCTGTTTGTCCATGGCATCAATCTTGGATCCGCTTAAAGGCACCAAACGGTCCCTTTAACGGTCAATCCCATCCGCAGCGTCCACCAATATTGCTCAAGTTTCAGCGTTCATACATGTGTGATGTTAAATTAAAACACTTACTGCGCATATATGAGGTACCATAACAACACATCGATGTTTTGTATGTGTGCCTTTATACTGGAGAAGGCACACAAGTAATTCTAAGGACCGTAGCATTTAGCACGCTGCGCTGACAATGCAACGCGATGCTCAAATAGGCAAGCGTTTCCAACGCTTTGCTAAGACGACAGGGTGGTGGCACCTGCCCGTCGCTTCGCGTTCTACTCCTTATCGCCTCCGAGACAGGCGCGCATCTTTCTCCGTGGGCGCTCACACTTTCCTTCGTTTTGGAAGATAACTGTCAGATGACGCTTGTGCCTAACGTGCCTCGATGCGCTCGTTTTCCTTCGCTGCACGGATCGAGAGAGTCTCTAACGCAGCGCTTTCAGAATACGATTCACCGATTTCGTCACCCAGAACAGTAAATAAACGTTTTGTTCACTCTCTCCCCACGCAAGACTATTGTCTTTCGACGACATTTGCAGTGAAACATGTAGATACGGTGCCATTGTTATATAGATATAATATATATATATTACCACTTGCCGCTGCTCACGAGCATCTCGGGATATTATGTTTTCAGCGTTACCAGCACGATGGCGCAATGAGTGTGCGTCGCCACATGCGTGGTGGCGCCCACTTTAATCTTCTACGCGTACATTGCTTGGCTTAGAGAAGGAAACCGACGCTCCCTCACAGCGTTCTTATATCGTGGTGGCGAGGAGGGGAGATCGTACTCTTCGCTGGCCTCTGCCATGTACCAGGAACGAATCTGCTGTAATTATCGGGTGCAAAAGGTCACTGCAATCAGTGCAGTCTTCATTTGCGAAAAGCGTGCGCTTTTCCGACAAAGCAAAGGTAACTAATGATACGCTTATTCGCGTGCGTACGTACCTGTGAGTACGTTTCGTGCGCTATTTGTGCGTCAGAAACGCGGGGCACGTTTCGATCTGCTTTCCATTCTGCACGTCTCAGTAAAATACACCCACTAAAACAAATTCATAAGCCGGGCAAAGTGGTAGCACATGGTGTCTCTGATCATCTAGTGAGCTTTTGGCGCAAGGTGGTGATTATTGAGTGACATAAACACCGAATACAGAGAACTTCATGGAACGTTCAGGGCATTATTTCCGCTTCAATGCATGGGCCTTTAATAAACTGGATACGGATGTCGGAAGCAAGGCATTATACAATTCAACGCCTCAACGTGAGCCTCGAACGTATGGCCCGTCCCTCACCAGATTCTCTTTTAGTTATCGGTACAGCAGCCAGTACCTACCTCCCGCGGCGTTCCTTTGTTACATAAGCAACTCTTGCGGTTGTGTTCAATCACGTGGTATGATATATTAGGCAACTAAGTGATACATTTTTCTAGCACTCTCTCACAGTGCCTGGTCACAGGAAGCATGACTCCATGGCTTGTTGAGGAAGGAAGCTTTATTAAAGAGAGAGCAACGGTCCAAACGTATTGTGGGAGGAGACGTCGGCACAAATGGAACTTCTTCAAGAGAGTACGTTCAATAATAGAAGTGACTTCAGGCTCCTCACGAAAGACATATAAAAGCTTCCGTCTTCTTGCTGGCATGGCAGGTGAGTTTAGGTTTCATCTGCAAAGACTGTCGGGAATGCTATAGGTACTAATGGTCCCACTATGTTTGAGGAGCTTGGACATTTTAAAAATAATGCTATTAAGTGTACGCGCTGGACGCGAGTAGTAGTGTTTATTCGAGTGCTTACGAGAGTACCAGCGGTATATAAGGCTCCAATATTCGATGCTTAGTGTGTAAATGCCGATGCTCTGAGTAGCAGATCAGAGCGCAAGATGGCCGGCACTGTTCTCGCCGCTATCAATGTACAGCTTGAAGTGCTTACGACTCGAACCTTCCACTCTCCGGGCACGGTTAAGCCCAAGCAAAAAAAACTTTCGTGATGTACACGCCAACTGCTGCTTTCGTCAACGCATATTGAAGCTGTCATTAATATTTCTCCTGCCAGAAATGAGTAGAAACTTTTTCTCCCACTTTTCAGCCGATGAACCTGTTCAAGAGGGCACTTACGGACGACTACACAGGACTACAAGAGCTGCGTCGTCATGGAATGCCTTACCATGACCGTGAAGGTAAAAAAGAGCGAAGCCTTTAAAGAACGAACAGCTTACTCCACGTTTCCACCATTAATAGTAACAAGCTTCATTTAGGAATCATTAAAATAACACCGATAACAAAAAAAACCCAGAGTGTAAAGATAATGCAAGTTTAATGCAGTGACTCGATGATCACTACTGAGAACCACGTTCGTGCACTCAGCACCATTTTAAGATAAAAATTGTTTCAATAGCCCTCCCGGTATTCCCTGAATGAAGTTTCTGGATAGAGCTGATGGATAACTTGTCTATGCACAGACGATTTAAAAACTTGAAATACATGCACAATGACGAATTGGGGCCTGCCTGCACCTCTCTTCCTTATACCCTTGTTCTGGTTGTACTCAATTAACCTTTTTTATCTCCAGAATGCCAGTCAGACTGTCTTGGCAGAACAAAATGATGTTTTTATGTAGACTAATTTAACTATGCAAACTTTGCAGGTGTATATATATCAGTTAATACGTGGCAGTCGCACCCGACAGCCATCTCACCATGTAGTGTCAGAAGCGAAGTACTTCTTTGCCTCATAATTGATAAGTGCAGCAAGAAGGGAAGACAAATAAATAATGCTACTTGACCAAACCCGGGTGCCCATTCAGTGGGGAGTCTTTATGAATAGGAACGTAGTTGTAAAATTATTCGAAATCCACATTCTGATCCAACGCATCTAACGCACGAGTTCTCCGGGACATCTTCATCTAAGAATGCAGCAAATATCAAGATTAGCAGTGCTTTGATATCTGTTAGTAGACCTTTTGTCCCATGAATTTACTTTCGACATCCTGACTCCCCCGGAAGAACTTCCGAATTAGCATGACATGTTTCATTCCGATATTGCGGTCTTCCGCGGTAATAGCACAGCAGAATTACGGAATCGTTGAAATAAATGAAGACGTATTTCCAACCTGAATATACTATAACACGTTACAATGAAGTTCAAACTTTATTTGAAAAGAGGTAAACAATTTTTAGGGCACATAAAAGCAGGTCACTTTTCGGAAAGCCGACGCAAACGAGCAAAGACAGCCGTGGTGCAAGCTCTGCGCAAAGCGTGTTTTTTTTTTTTTTGAAAGTAGGAAGTATACGGTTTCGGGGGTAGGGGCAAGTGTTAGCTGTGTTATGCATTTAAATTGACCATACAAAGTGTTGTACAAAACTCATGGTTTTGAAGTGTCAGATTTGTTGTAACTGAGCTAAGGCTCTTCTCGCTCCTTTGTTTTTTCACGTGCACTGACAACATCTCTCCTGGCGCAGAATGCGTCCTGTGGGTCACCTGGAATGTCGTCAACGACATCCCACAAGATTGCCAAGATCAATACGAAGACAACTGCGACGATGCAAAGCTGGCTTATGACAAAGAGTCCTGTGGTGCCTTCGAAAATTTTAACTAAATAAATCTGCCATACTTGCCGCAACTAAGATTGTTGCCTTCTTTCCGTCAGTTTCTACCGTCGATGTTTTTCTGGAGCAATGCCCAGACGTAACCCATATGAATGTGCACTGTCTTTAGGACTATATAGTGAGCGCAAAATGGCTGAAAAAGTAAAAATAAAAGTGCAAGGTGACTCGGCTTTTGCGACCCCTTATTATTTTTTTTTTGCCGATATTGTGGTACGTGGTCATAGCTTTATGAATCCCGCATAGAACTATTTGGTTAGACCAACAGCAAGTCTTTCTCAGTAACCGCAAAAAAGTGGAGAAGCTCTGTAGACGCAGCAGATACTGACTGAATGGCTGCAACACGAAATAGTTTATTTAACAATTGAAAAGATCGCAATGATTTGAAAAAGAGGAGAGACGTGCGATAAGAAAGTATGTGACAGTTCCAGGTCAAGGCCGAAGCAATGAATGCGATAGCTGCACATCGCGCTGCTATACGAACTAAGGCTTACGCGGACATACCTATTCCCATAAAAAAGTGGCAGGTTTCCGGATATGGGAACAAATTTAAGGAAGTCAACGAACACGCACTTAAGCTACGCTTAACTGATTCCGCTGAAACAAGAACAGCCGTCTTTCTTCGTTTACTGGGACAGTGTGCGCCCGCATTCTATACCTTTTGGCGTCTCCTGGAGAGGTGCTCGTGAACACGAGCTCCCTTTTTACGTATCCAAACTACGAGACACCACAATGTGTGAATTTTAAATATTTTGATCGCCGAACGCCTACACACTGTGTAATCCATGCCAAAAAACATGTTTGAACTTCACAGACACTCTAATGAAGCTGAAGAGGTCAAACTAATTCGTTCATATCTGTATCGAAGCAGCCAACGTGTGCTCACTGCAAAGTAGTACTGAGACCTCTTAGAACAGAAATCACACAACAAAGCAAATTTTTCATAGTGTCTCCGAGCAGACAACAATTCGGATGACTTTTTACAGACCTGATTGTGTTAGCGCGTATACCACGGAGATACTGCAACCTATAGCATATATCCTGTTTGCTATTTCTACTGCGCGTGTTTTGTTACATTAGCGTGCACCCGCCAGAGTTCCTGCCTCAATGAACCCTGCCCACTTGCTACAGCTTCCGGTAATCCAAATCTTATATTCCAAAAGAATAACGGTGTACTGAAGCAGTTTTATGGCACGCAGTAACGATCATTAACAGCCTTTGCTGCATTTCCTTCCCACAAAGTGGCGCTGTAATACAATAGTACTATAAATATTGCTATGAATACTTGTATTTCACTATTAAGATGCATTTGGAAAAGGTATTGGCACATTTGTAGCGAAACAGTTTCAAGATGTGTGCGTTACATCGTATTAGTGTGCCGGACACGCGAATATAATTTATTTCTTGTCGGGAAGGAGACGACGTGTTTCCGAGTGGGAAAAAAATATTTGTTTCCGCTAAGCATGTGTGCGCCGCCACCCTGCAACACAGTGAGAGAGGTACAGGGATTCTCACACGTGAAGGGTGGTAATGTTATAGAGCGTACAATGGCACAGGCAGCCGAATCGTGGAGGTAGTATGTCGGTTCTTACGATGGAACTTGCCTTCTCGTTAGGCCTCTTTCATTCGATATGTGAAGTTTAACATCCCAAAATCACGACGTGACTATGATGGAAACCGTAGTGGAGGAGTCCGAAAATTTTGACCACCTGGGTTCTCGCTAGGCCGCTCAAAGGGACACTAAAGACAAATAATGTGCCGACGATTATTGTTGAAATAGCGCTCCAGAAATATCGTTATGCTTGTTTTGTGCCAAGCAAGTGATTATTTTGAAATAAAATCTCGTTTTATTGGTCCACACCGTGTTAGTGCACTTCAAATCACCAGCTCCTGCAAGCGGTTTTTCGTACGTACCACTGTAAGCACGCCCAGCGTTGGCCGCTTCCACTACGGGGCCACCGACACCAGTAGCAGCAGAGCGAAAGTAGCTGGAGCCACCGTAGCAACAATGGCCATTGAACTTCAGTGTACTAGAGGTGTAGTACACTCTAACTAAACAATTTTCTGCAATCTCTACAACCATTATTCTGCTTGCTTGGTTCTACTGAGCCCCGCTAGATGGCACTACCTATCCAGCCTTACCAACCGAAAAAACTGAACTTCAGAATCACTCGCGTCATTTTCCATAGCAACGCTTGGTGCTTCTTCATTCTATATGTCTAACAGAAGTGGAGAAACAGCATTCCATCACATTTATTGATGCAGGGAAAGTTACTTTTTGATTGCAGCTAGTTTGGCTATCAGTGATTAATTGTAGTTGGACACTTTCGCGTTATCGAGATCATTTCGCAATTGTCCCACCTGTGGCGCACATCGTGTGATACGTTTAGCTTAATTTTATCATAAGTAAGGCACTGCTGTTAATAATAACTATTTTAGACATTGTCATACATTGCAACTTCACACATTGTAACAAAAGCTACGCCATGCACTGTGTTGTAAAGCTTACAGTCATATCCACTAAAGCAATATGCCAAGGTATCGCTCGAATGTACTCCCCAGTGGCTGAAGCCGTAGGGACAAAATCAATATGAAAAAATGCCTGGCTTGCGTGCAACACACATCGCAGTTTCAGCGGAGCCGTCTTTTGAGTGTCCGCTGTAGCTGTCTTTAGGCGGACACACAATTGATTGATATGTTGTGTTGAACATCCCAAAACCATCATTTGAATATGAGAGACGCCGTAGGGGAGGGCTCTGAGAATTTCGACCACCTGGGGTTATTTAATGTGCACCTAAATCAAATCACGCGGGCCAACAGCATTTTCGCTCTACTTTTTCGCGTCGATGACATGCACGCCATTCTATTAAGGTACAGGTAGTGATATGCACGATACCAGAGGTACTGGTGCGTGATAGCCACCTGCAAAGAGCGGTTGTCAACGCAAACCAAGAGATATGGCGGATGAGTCGAGAGAAAGGTTTTGAGGTGGTGGAAATAAACAGAGAGGTGCATAGGTGGGGGGGTTTTCAACGAGACAGAATTCACTTCGATGGGCGGCTAGGTCATGAGGTGGGTTGGCGACTTGCAGGACGCGCAGTAGCTTTTTTGGGGGGCAAGCGAGCCCTTCGGGGTGCAGGATAGCTAGTAACGAGGAAAACAACCAGGGAGACTCTTCGACAGGTGGTATGGACAGATACGATTCCAAAGTGGCACCAGTATCTAAGATAGGTAGAGTCCGGGGCATAAATAGACGTAGCCACGAGCGCCGATCCAATTCAGGCATAGGGTATATTAACATGCAGGGTGGTAGAAACAGGCTGAAGTGGGAAGAGATAGAAGAATAGCTAAGGGAAAAGAGGCCGATGGTATACGGTTTTGTAGAAACACATCTCAGGGACATGGAACAACCTCCGAACAATCTAGACTACGCGTGCAAATATTGTAATAGAACAGAAGGCAGCAGAAAGGGGGGGTAGTATTGGGGCATTCATTCATAAAAGTACAGACTGGCAA